GAAGAATTTAAACAGTAGTGGCAGTAGTTCCTCTCTAAATGTCTTGTAGAATTCAGCAGTGAAGCCATCAGGGCCCAGGCTTTTCTTAGTTGATAAGTTTTTAATTACATTTTCAATTTCATTTGTTGATATTGGGTTGTTTAGAACTTTTAGGTCTTCTTAGTGCAACTTTGGTAATTCATATGTATCTAGGAATCTGTCCATTTCTTCTGTGTTTCTTCTGTGTTCTCATAGACATCTTAGATATGACATGTCTCAACATTCTCCCAAACTTGTACTCATACTCTTCTCAATTTCCGTAATGTGAACATGATTTCCAGGTGATAACCCAAAAGCCTTTCTTATTCTTCATGTAGTTACATTCCATATAAAATATAATGATCTCAGATTCTAAAATGCAGATTTCTTACCAACCTAACCACTATCACTTAATCTGAAATATTTAATATCTCCTGTCACATTCTATCACTCTGTCTTCAAAATTTTGGTGGCTTATTTCAGATTACTGACCATTTCCTACAGCATCAAAAATAGACTTAATCTCTCAGCTCCCATTACTTCACTAATTTCATCTTGTATTATTCATCTTGCTAATAGTATCACATGTCCCCCTGGCTTCTTTGTTGTCCCTTAAGCATTCCAACTATGGATCCTGTTTTGGGCATGTTTGTCTTGTCTTCAATCTAGAATTCTTTCTCTCTATATTTACATAGTGTCTTTTCTTATATTTGAGTCTTTGCTTGCCTTGGTAATCTAGCCTTCCCTGATTGCACTGTTTACAATTGCACTCTGTCACTTTGCTTTGTTTTGTTTCTTCAGAGCATTTATTGCTAACTGACCTTACATTATGTTTTTATTTATTTGTTTGTGATCTATCTCAACTAGAATCTAAATTCTTTTAGAGCAAAAACTTTGTCTTTTTTAGTCTTCTTTAGTCTTTTTTAGCTAAGAACATTTTACATAAAGTAATAAATATTTGAAAAAGCAATAAAGCCATTGTGATTATCATTTTAAAAATCATCTGAAATAAATATTACGTTGGAGTATATATATTTTGAATTCACTGGGAAAGATGTGCTATGCAATTAGATATAATTGAATGAATGCTTGTGTATTAGAAACCGTGAGAAATAATTGCATAAATTATATACAAATTGAGAATGTAAAGATGCTTTTACAAATGTGAAGAATTTTTGAAAACTTTCAACACTTTTATATTTTATTTAAAAATATGAAGAGTCTTGAACAATGATCTGAAGACATAAGAAAACACTGACAATAAAAAATTTACCCAAATGATTTATGATATTATAAAAAGGTATCTCAATTGGTATAGAACTCCTTTCTAGTTCAGAATGACATTAAAATGGATGCTTCTTTTTATAGTCTTTACAAAATCTAGCCATTTTTCTCTGTTATTTTATAGTTTACCAGATGATTTTTAAATTTTTTCAATTCTACTTTGGTTTTGCACAAATTAACAAATATTTTAATTGATGCAGTCGCTAACCTGAATTCAAAAATTGATAATAGAAGTAATTAAATTTGATTTTTAAAATTCTTAGCACAAATTCTGAGATATGGCTCATTTATCAAAGTAGATTATTATGAACATATGGCCCTAATTTTCATATTATTATAATTTTTTAAAACACTATCCTTGATAAAAATATTATTTAGTAACCTCTAAATATCATTTAACATATAAATAAAAAATTTAACCCAGGTGAAAAAAATAAATGCTACAAGAACTTCACTTCTGGAAGAGAGCCAGGTTCTTATAAAATCTCTAATAGCACTTTATCTTCCAATCAAACTGTTTGGAAGATAAAATTCAAGATTTTTGTATTTTTCAGTTTTTTGTCATCATATAAATAATAAGTTCTCAACCGCAAACCTCTGAAGCCAAATAAATTAAAGCAATCATTGGATAGACTTCGCTGATCTTGATTCACTCCCTGTTCACTTAGGCTGCCTATCAGCCATCTCTCTTTCAAGTTTGGGCTGAATGGGGAAGCAGCTGGATGGTGCCTGGAAGCTGTACAAAGTAGCCTGAGTAGTTGGGAGAGAGCAGGGTGGACAGCTCTTTTTGGGGCAATGATGGACCTGAGAGCAACTAACCAGGGATCCATTGAACAGATTCTTAGGCCACTCACCTGTCCAGAAATTCCTCAAAAATCGCTCTATCAAGATTGGTATTTTCTCTTAAAAGCTTCCATAGCTAATGCTGAGAAGTAATTAAAAAAAATTCCCCAAGTGCTTTGATCTATTTGGTGTGGATGACTAAGCTCTGGACATATTTATTCCCTAGAGTTAAGGAGTTTTGGCCATTCAAACAGGTCTGGATGTTTCCACTCCCAAATAGGTTCCATGGCTATGGAAATTGGAGTGGAGAATATAAAGGAGACAATATTCAGTGGAGGCAAATTACAGGTTCATTTTTTGTCACTATGATAAAAGATGATGCTAATTGTAGTCTCAGCATATTTTTCCCATTTCCAGGCATCTATAAATAGACAACAAACCCCTCTCCTTAAAGCCAGAAATAGGTCTGAAAATAACTCATTGTATGTTTATGTCATATATATGTGTATATAAAGTTTTGATTTGAAAATTAGAGCAACAAAGTATAAATATGTGATGGAGAAGAAGAAATTATGCTGATTTGAGATGTGAGAATAGCAAAATGAATCTAAAAACTCATATCACTATAAAAGGAGCCTTGAGTCCAACTGACATTTCTCCTTTACACTCTCCACTCCATTTTCTGTATAATGTCAGACAGGGAGGCTTTCTCTGAAGAAGTACAGCCAGGAAAGATGCTGAAGGAGGCTGCTGTTTTAAGAAAAAAAGGTTAAGGGGTCTCTTTGCAGACTGTGATGACAGAAAGACCTTGGTGCTGTAAAGCCTTCCTTCCAGATGGACATTTCCATATGAAACCATATGCAATAGATTTTAATGATGTTTATGTTCATCTTTAAAAATCTATAAATGTGAGTGTGTACATGTACCAACTCCCCAAAAGAAAAGTAATCATTATGTAATGCAAACGTGTAATAAAAAATTTTAAATCTGAAAAAAAATCAATAAATGTGAAGCATTTTTAAAAGGACTGCTTAATTTGAAAATGAGAACTGGTAAAACAGAATTGACTTAAGGGAATTAGCCACTGACATTTCTTAAGGTGGTTCATAACTAAAACACTTTTTAACAAACACATAAGAAAGTCAGCACAATGACTGTAGCAACCAGAATCTTTGCCAAATAGACTGTCTCAAATGTGACTTTATCCTTTTATAAAGAAGAAAGTGATCTCTTTGGTTAGGGTTTTGATGAATTACTAAGAGAATTAGATCAAAAAATATGTTAAAGTACAAACTTACAAAATGGTGTATTCCTAGATAATATACTTATATATTGTTAGTATATGAGTACGTGAACACAATAGTTGTGTGTATAACTGATAAAGTGATGGAATTTAAACACATTATTATCTTCTCAATAAAGCCTGAAAAACCTCAAGAATGCTTTCAGTAAAGATTAGGGAGTTTGACCTTTATTCTCTGTGCAAGGCAAAGTGTTCAAAATTAAGTTACTGTTTCCATTTCTTTTGGGTAGACTGACATCTCAGACTGTCAGACAAATAGTATAATACTTGTTCTTCAGCTTTTCAAGTGGTAAGTGATATGCTGAGGTTTAGAATGCTCCAGTACGCATAGCTCTGATGAAGAAATATCAAGATGCCACTTGGAACTTCTTTCTTGAAGTCAAAATCGTTCTCTGAAAAGATTTAGGGAGATACTGTGAACCTGAAATATAACAAAGAAAGTAATTCTCATTAAAATGTTTAAAAAAACATCAACTCTCAAGAAGATTGTTTTATACATTCCATGTAGATGATACTTTTTAAACAGGAGAAAATATTTTATTTTAATGTCAGTTTTGCACAAACCAGGAAATAGTCATATACAAAAACAGCCATTTGGAGTCCTAAGAAAAAGGCAAGTGCTCTCCTTTACGAACCCTAAGCACCAGCCATGTGCTCTCCTCAGCTAGCACCCCCAGAGTTAGGGCCCTAAAGCCCAAGTTCAGCAGGAAGCTTGGGCAGCTCCCCTATTTTATAGGAGTAGCCATGCCAGCTGACTTCGGAGATCTTTCCCACTACCAGAGAATACCTCTACCCCAGGATCTACATTACTTTTCTTTCCAACACAGAACAAATGACAAGCTGATATATTTATATCTTCCTGTGCTTCTTGACCTGGAAGCAAACTTAACAAAGAGGCCATGTGCCTGCATATTAGAGAAAATAAAAATCAACACTTACCCATACAGGAACATGTCTTTTGTGTACTCTTAGTCACTTTACAGATGTGAGCAAAGGCCTCTGACCATCAGCGATAATAGCTATCTTTAGTATTTGCTGAAAGATTAGGGGTACAGGTTTCTCTCTCATCTCAACTGTCATATGCCCCAAAAAGCCTATTAGACATCTTCACCTAGCATGGCACAGTCAGCATCTCAAAAGCTGACTTCAAAATTCCTCTGGTTCCCGCTTTAAACACAGCTAGTCCTGGCCATCCACAGAATCTCAGTTGTCTGTTTTCACTCCCTCTTACACCCATGCCCTCTGGGAAGCCTCTCTGCTCCCCTTACTAACAGAAGATTGAGGCTGGTGGTTTCTTTGAGTCACCACTCTTGCGGCCCTTCCTTCCCATCTTCCCCCATGACACTGAATGTTTCTTGATGGAGTTTCTGATGTTGGACCACAGAATGCAGACACTTGCTGTTTCCTCCCCCATGGTCAACATAGGCCTATCCAGTTAGGCAACCTTCAATTTCATTTTCTAAAACTCAAAATATTACAATTACATCATTATCTTGATAGGTGGCAAAATCTTACCTGTCAAAACACTCTGACCTGTCCACGTGTGGTGGGCGAATTCCATCAGGGTCAAGGAACCTTTTCGAGGTGTATCTGACTGTGAGGAAGGAAATAAAATGGTAGATGAGCTTTATTTTTTCAAAATTTTTTTTTAAAAATCGAAGTTATGTCCGCCACCTGCCTCACAGATGCAAGGTCCTGAGTTCAATCCCCGGTACCAAAAAAAAAAAAAATCAAAGTTATGGTTAACAGAGAACCCACCCGGAAGGTGTGAGTTGTGCTGGGCCTTGAAAGCTGCTCCAGGGCAAAGGTTCTTTCATGAAGAGGTGATCGCTCTACACAGTCAGGCATGGCACTTAACACACGGCTCTGTGGGTGCCTCCCTTTGTACTAAATGAAAGATAATAGGTTCTTGTTTAGAATAAGTGCATTCCATAGGAAGACAAAAGAAAATCTATAGAAGCTTCAATCATTTGCTCATTTATTCATTGACATGTTTATTTGGTAATTTTATTTAGATATTGCTAAGTATATGGACTATTAAGGGTCAATAGTTACATGTCTTAATTACATTCATTGTTTTATTAAACCACTTAAAATGGTAGCACCACAATAAATAAACAGGGATCAAAAAACTTAACTGCAGATACAAATTTTCTATGATGAATGTGACCAATATGTATGACAAATATGTTCTAATAAAAAATAAAGTTTAAAAAAAGCTTAACCTCATAAAATTCTTAATATTAAATTACACCAGAAATGTAATTCTGGATTTGTGAAGCATCAGACTTGTTTATTTGACATTCACCTTCTTTTATTAATTCATCCTAAATTTAAATGTGAAAGCACTGTCGCCCTTGCCTTCTGGGACTAGGCTCTATTGCTGGGCTCAGCTGGCACAAGGTTAGGTAAAGGGACAGGCAGATCTGTCTTTGGATATTGGCATGCAACTTGGCAATAAAAATCTCTTGGCTGAGTTGGCTTTCGCTCTCTGTCTCTCTGTCTCTTTCTCTTTCTCTGTCTGTGTTCTTACAAGTGGGATTCTGTGTGTTTTATAAAGTAGATATGAGTTACTTATATCAGAGTGAAGCATCCAGGGGAAGCCTGGCTAGACATATTTCCAGAAGCACACTGTCCCCAGATGTGCTGTGACAGCAGGACCAAATTGAGCTTAAGTGAAGAAGTCACTGCCTCTACCCTGCAGCAAACATGCCAAAGGTCAGTTGTGAAAATGATGAGGGTAATAATTTACTCGGCTATTAATCTATGCCTGGCATTATTTAAAATCTATGCCTGGGTCTTTCTAATCCTTATAATTATTCCTTGAGATAAGAAGCATTATCACCCTTTTATAGATGAGAAAACTAAGATTCAGGGAGATTAAACTAACTTGTACCAAATCACTTTGCACGGCAGGATCCAAACATAGACCAGCCTTCCTTTGACCCAAAGTGACCTCCACTCTCTTGTCATCACTACATCATCTTGACTATCAGACATTTCCTTCATACCTGGATTTTCTGATTCAGTTCAAGCCCCATTTTTATTTCACAAAATGATGAATGAATCCTCTCATCCCCTGTAAATTCTCATAAATCATTTACTTCCTGGAAACAATCATGAAGACAGAATACAACTGATCAGATCATTGCCTATGTTACTGATTTCTCTGGGAAGTACCAAGATTTTTTTGTTTTCCAACAGGTTATCTAAATGGTTACACTTAAAATGATATCTGACTTACGGTTATAGACCAGGATCCAGAAAGTGCTGTGTTCTGCTCCCCACTGTCTGAGCCAATGGGGGGCAACCTGCTCCGGGAAGTTTGAATTGGAGAGGAAGACATATGGTCCACACTAGTTTGCCTGTAAATACAACAAAATACAACTGAATATCCAGGTGCTGAGAGACACAGGAATAGACCCTACCATGAAGCTCTCAATCTGAGCTACTTACTGATCACAATCTACCTTCCAAAATCAGTGCTCAAGAAGAACAAGCTTTATTTCAGGACAATAGATGTGAGGCTACTGGGAAACAGATTGCTGCCTACACTGTCAGTGGGGCTGTAAAATGGCATAACTACTCTAGGAAGCACTTTGGCAAAGTATTTCAAGAACCTTAAAAATATTTATAACCTTGACATGGTAGTTTTCCTCCTAGGACTGTACCCCTAAGAAATAAGTTAAAGACATCCTCATTAAGACAGATATAAGATGATATTCACTGTACATCATCAGAATGAAAATACAGGAAAAATAAAAGCTTGTACTAATAAAGAAATTCATACATAATAAATTGCCATAGACTCATATGTTTGTTTTGCACTCATTAAAATTATGCTTTTGAAAATATTTGATAACATGGAAAATATGAGGGATATAATGTTAAGTGAAAAAGTGTTACATTACACAACAGCTAATGCTAATGTTAGGAGAAAGAGAAGAAAAAATATAATCCTAGGCAAAACTGATAGGAAATTTATCAATGGCTGTCATTGCCATGTTTATATGCGACGAGCACACAAGTGATCTTTGATTTCTGTTCAGAGTTTTGATTTTGTTATCTTTCACAGTGAACTTTCAGTACTTAGATAGCTAAGGAAAATATTATTTAATAAAAATGAACAACAAGGACAGAGGGTGTAGCTCAGTGGTAGATAGCTTGCATAGCAAAAGGCAGATCTTGGGTTAGATACCCAGCACCACAAAAAAGAAAAAGGGGAAGGGAAAGAGAAGGGGAAGGAGAAGGGAAAGGGGAAGAGGAAAGAGAAGGAAGAGAAGGAAGAGAAGGGGAGGATAAAGGAGAAAAGAAAAAATAGTGGAAGACAGCATAAACAAAATCATGGAAGTCAGAGGCTGTATAACTTGTATGCCTGTGGAACAGAAGGAAGATAAGGCTGCCCAGGATCAGGATAGGGGAAAGAAGTAACAAGAAATAGCTACGAAGATTCAAAGAGGGTGAGATCTCCTCTGAAGGGGGCAAGAAATTTGACTCATGTATAATATATTAAAATTCCATGGGTGGGGGAACAATTAGGGAAAATACTAATCCAAAAGGCACTCTTAGCATGGCAATAACGAAAAAAAAAAGTTGAAAAATGCTGGTCTACAGAGAGAGGGGCCAAAACATGGAGGGGATGTACAATAGGAAGGGTATAAATAATGTCAATAGGAAACAGCAGTGGTTTTTGATGAAAGTCATTAGCCCCAGGTAGGCTGGGGGAAGATTACAGAGCTGTTCATATGCTACTGACATGGAGTGAAGAGAGGGTGGGAGGTGACCACAAATGGAAAAGGAAGAGATAGTTTAAAAGAATGAACAAAGCCAACCCAAGCACAACTGGAGATATCAGTCTCAACCCGTGAAAGAAACAATGGTCTAGCAAATAGCTGAAATGGTGCTATAAATGCATCATGAGAAAGTCAAGATACTGAGTAATTGATTGTTGGAAGGTGCTCAGCCCTCCAAATCTTGAGAGGACCTGAGTGCTGCACCCTAATACCTCCCTCCCTTACAGTAGCAAGCCTAAGGCAAGTGGTCCAAGACTGAACCAAAGCCAGAGAGCACTGGTGAGTGTCCTGCCCCTGCCTCCCTGAGCTATAATCTTTAATATATTGTTCAAATTCTTTCAACCAGATTTTTCATTTTAGATTTGGAATAACCAGAAAGATCTGTGATGGGAAATAAACAAGATAATAAATGTAACCCATTTACCTGGTGCTGGTAACAAAGAAAGAAGTCAATGAACACTAGCTACTGGTATTACCAAAGGTACTGTCTGATAGTGAATAAGTCAGCTGGAAAGCTCCTTTGGAATTCTATGACAAAGGAAGAGACACATAGCTTTCTAATTAGAGAATGATTTTGATGTTAATTCGTAAGGTCTAAAGCTTTTCTGAAATTCCTACATAGGGTGAAACTTTTCCTTAAAGATAAATAAAAACAATATTTTAGGTGTATAACCCTTTTATTAGTAGTAGTAGTCGTAGTAGTATTGTTATTATTTTGAGACAGGGTCTTGCCATATTGCCCGGGCTGATCTCTTAATCCCTGGACTCAAGAGATTCACCTGGCTGTGCCTACCAAATAGCTGTGAATATATGTATGAAACCACACCCAGCATTATATAATTTTTATTTTCAAAGCATCTTATATACAGCCATGTGTGAAATAATCATAAGGATACTTTCCAAGAAATTCATCCTAAGGCAAATTTCATCAGGGTGCACATATCATACAATGTATCTACATGAACAGCTATGACATCACTAAGAAACATAATCTCACAGGGACACCATTACATATTTAGTCTGTATTGGACTTAAACATCATTATGCAATGCATGACTGTATACTATTTAAACCTCCTCATTAAAAGTCCTAATTATGTAATTTAAAAGCACTAATTAATTATTAGTTTTAAAGATGAGTCCACTGACATCCATCCAAGAGCACCCTACCACCAAAGTTTCATTTTATTTATGAGCTACAGGTACACTGTCTGACTTTTCATTCTAGTGTACAGCTACTTATACTACTGGAATAAAATTAGTGTTAAACACTGAAACAAATTTATTAGAAGAGAGTCTACATAAAATCTGATAGGGATCCTCTGTCCAGAATAACCCACCAGTCCTAACTGACAAGTGTCTCTGTCCTATGGGCCCTTCAGTTTGTCATGAAAGAAACAAGACTTACAGCTTTGTTCCCCTAAGAATTTCATCACTGTAGATATTGGGGGTTTTTAGTCTCTGTGAATCTGAAGTAAGAGAAGGCAGCCTCCTGTGCACCACTGTTTTCTTGGCAGAAGTTTGTAATCCTCTCACATCTGAGGTCCGCCCCATTCGGTGGCGAGCAGAGGAAAGGGCACTGACCACTCCTCCAGCAGATGATTTGTCCTCCTGCTCACTCCTGGGGAGAGAGAAATCCAGTTGTAAGTGCTTGAGAACAGAGAACACATCTACAGCAGTGGCTAGCACACACAGCACACACTCCCCTGAGTATGTGTTGAGTGAATGGACAGACTATCACTTCCAATTCTATGTGAAAGAAGAATCACTCAGGAAGAAAGATCTAAATTTCTTCCTGTTGGTAATCAAATTTCTTTACCTATTGGTAAAGCCCACAGATTAAGAATTCACAGCTATGGTTTGGTTTTCTCATCTCTCCCAACCTAACATGCAACAGTAATTATTTTGCAGTTGACATTAGAAGAATCTGCTTTTATTCTTACATGCTGGCTATACCCTCTCTGGAATGTGCTCAGGCACATCTAGAGCATGAGATCAAATGGGATCTTCCTTGTCGCATGTCTCTGAAGGCTTCAGTACTCAGTGTGTTACCAACATAGGGAAGTGGTTGAGTGAGATTTTCTTATACATACTGTGTTCTATCTGCAAAGTAGGTAGGTCTCTGCTGAAGAGGTTTTGCTTGAATTGTCATCACACCATTCAAGTCACTACAGAAATTGTTGGAGAAGCGATGAATCTGAAAAAAGTAAAAAATAAGTAAAAATGAAAAATCAAAAGAGAAAATATCCAGTACTATTACAATCACTGATGCCTGTCAGGAATCAGGAGGAAACAAATTGCACAAACTGGCTAATTTGAGAAAATTTTAGTAAAGGGACTATATTGTACACATATAAATCTCATTTTATAAGATTCATACTGCATACTAAACAAGGTAGAAAATACTATATTGGACTTAACAGAGAAGTTTAAAGAGATAAAAAAACATAATAAATAGTTAACACCTAAATATTTTGAGACAGTGTCTCAGTAAGTCTCTAAGTTACACAGGCTGGGCTCCTTGAACTTGCATCCTCCAGCACAGCCTCCCCAAGTGTTGGATTACAGGTGTGTGCCACCACAACCAGCTCAAACATATCTTTTGAACAGAAAAAAACAAATATTTATTGCAAAGCCCCCATACCCACAGAGTAAAAGCAACCCTAATAGATATTGTCTTACTCTCTGTTCTCTGAACCACAAACCCTGTTTGGGCAAGTCTCCTCTCAGTTTTTTTGAGGATGTTCCATCTATTTGCTCCTATTCTAGGTGCATATTTTTGTCTCTCCTTTCACTTTTTTAATTTAACAAACTGTACCTGCACTTAGGGCTTAGTTTATGTCTTACTCTAGTTAGGGAAAGGGATATTTTTACTCATAATTGTACAGCACTCATGATTTAAAGGACATCTAATTACAAAATAAAATATATAATAGAGGATTTGATTATAATAAAAGCTAATAATTAAGAGTGCCTACTTCACACTACACTACCCACTGTACTGTCTTATTTCCTTTAATTCTCACACCTTCCTACTGCACAGATGATACAGGTAATGAAACTGAAGTTTTAAGAGAAAGGGACTAATTTGAGATTATACAGCTAATAAGTGGTGACATCAGGCTCCAAACTTATAATCTATATGCAAAGCCCAACTTTTCAGTCTACTCTCAACTACAATTCTTCATACATGCATGTATGCGTGTGTGTGTGTGTATCTGTGTTTCATATGGCTTGATGCCCCCTCTAAACTGTAAATGGTATGTAGCTGAAGACCAGCCATCATTTCTAATCCCTTTTCTTTGCTCTGCACACAAGATCCGCTATGTGAAACATAAAGGTCAAATTCCCTAGCATACTAAAGACCTCCCATTGACAAGTCTATCCTTTCTAGCTTCACTTGCTACTTCCGTACTTCTTTGAATAAAGATATAATTCAAGAAAAAATCTACTGAGTGCTTGAAATATGCTAAATGCAGGAGATAGAGAGGCATGGGCGTTGGTGAGGACAGACACAGTAGACCCCCGGGACCAGACCCTAGATTCTGTACTTTGTAATTGTTGTGCTGACTTTGATCATTTGTTAAAGGGGCCTGATCACCTCACTGGGTATTGTATTCCATTTGGTGGACATTGTCCACAATTTGATTTTGTTCTGATATTCTGTATCTTAGGAGGTCCCGGGGTGGAAATGTTTAACCTTGAATGTGAACTGACAGCATAACAAATAGGCTGATCCATCTGTGCCTATGACTAAAGGGGGGGCACCTCTGTGCTTAAATATCCCCCTGAGGTTACAGACGTGAGTGGGCCTGATCTGTGATTCTGTGGACATGTCTCGCAAGGGCTAAGTAGGTGCTCTCGCCACGAGATAAATACACCCTTATGGCTGGATGGTCCTGAAAGTGCTGGTCACGCAGCCAGACAGGCGCCTGTGTGGGTTGTCTCTGATGGTCACCGCCTTTTGTTTGTCTTGTGTCTCCGTACAAGGGTAGCCACACACACACCAACAGTCTGATAGGCCGATCGTGGGGACAGAAACATCTCGTCCTACTGTTTTGGAATGCATGCTTAAGAATTTTAAGAAAGGTTATACTGGAAATTATGGTATTCAGATGAAACCCCAAGACTTAGAGCCTTTTGTGAGTTAGAATGGCCCAAGGTTTGCCCAGCTTGGACAACTGAGAGATCCCTAGGTGAGGGTCTCCTCTGGTCCATCTTGCTAACAGTCACCATCCCTGGACAGGAACATTCAGATCAATTTCCCTATATTGATTTATGTCTCAAATTGTGCCAAAGAATGCCTCCTTGGCTTCATATGTGCACCCTGGAAGCAAAAAGCAATATCCTGGTCCTCCGTCAGAAAGGGGACGATGCTGGAAAGAAACTGGCCCTTTCAGACCCGGACTGAGAGAATTTAGACTTTCCCCCTCCTTACCTGACTTCCCTGGCCCTTCCCTGGGCCCCTACGACAGACATCAGCACCAGCCCCTGTGGCCTGGCCTCCACCTCACCTGATTCAATCCAGCCTCTCCAAGACCCAGGTACCCCAAGGGAGGCAAATAAAAACAATGGAACTTAGGGAGCACGTCAAAAGTAACATCCAGACAGCTCAATGAAAAAAGTTATCTCCCTTGAGACTTTAACTGAGACCTTGACAGCTTGGAGCCTTGTGCACCGAGCCTGGGAGCCTCTCAAGCTTCTGCTCCATGGCCATCAGCGGCTGATGAGAACTGTCTAGTTCCCTCCTCAAAACTACTGCTTGCCAAATCTGCTGTCTTTCACACCACAGACTCACCTCTCTCAAACATGTAACATCGTTACAGACAAATCCTAGGGCTCCCCTCTGGGGGAGGTCAAGCTGCTTTCCCTTCCTTTTGAGTTGCTAAATTCACCGGTGCAGAGGAGGTGGGGACAAAAGCCTGAGAACTGCTTGGCTTTAGAGCACCAGAGGGTGCGTGCTGTGGTCAGACTCAGAGGACAGAATAGGGCTCACACTCAAATTGGAAAAAACTAAAAAAAGAAAACAAGTAATAGATTAAAAACAGCTTAAAAAAGCTCTGAAGAACATAAGAAGAAAAAAAACACTCTTGGCTTTATAAGCCAAGGTCAACGCTATGGTATCAGCTTAATGCTACCGTGAAGGTCTGGAATCCAAAACAAAGCCAGAAAAACTGCAACTGTGCTCTACCAGACAGAAAAGAGATTTTACAAGAGAAATCAAGTTACAAATTTTAGCTAATTGATAAATGTATCTTTGTTTTCAGTTTGAGTTGATGTTTAATTGGTGTGCTTAAAACATTTCTTGTACATTGCAAATTCTTCAGTTGTAATTACAGGGTTAACTTGCTCTTTTCTGTACCTTGTTGATTAAAAATCCCTCAAGGTCACTACCATTCTATTGGCAGCCAACCAAATTTAAAGTGTAACGATACAAGAACAAAAAAGGGACACTTTAAAATTTTAACAGCTAAAGACAAGTTTGTGATAAAAAGTCTATATTAAGTGAGATAAAAAATATTAAAAAGCTGTAAGTAAAAGAGATACAATTTTTTTGTTTTGGTACAGGGGATCAAACTCCGGTCCTTGCGCTTGCGCAGCAGGCGGCGAAACCACTGAGCTAAATCCCCAGCCCGATACAATTTTGATATAAAAAATTTTGTATGTTTGTCTTGTTAGAAAAATAAAAAAGATATACAAGACCAGAAGGCCTAAGTATGTCAAAAAGATGTGCGGAAATGATTTATCAAAAAAAAAAATGTATGTTTGTTTGTTGGTTTCAAGCTTGCTATAAACAGTTTACATATGTTTACATTGGTTGTCATCAAGGAGTTGGATTCTAAATGTGTTACTATAGTATGTGTACATTGGTCATCTTCAAAGGGTTTAAAGAGCCAACAGGTTACAAGATAACCTCCTCTTTTACAGTGAGTAAAAAAAAAAGAAAGACTGTTGGGAAGGGGCCAATGCCCTCCTTGAGTTCCTGAGGGATATAAAGTCTCATGGAAAAAAGCACAAATTTCTAGACCAAAGTGTGGTATTTGGGATTTGACTTAGGAAAAGGACAAAGGAGGCTTGGTCCAGAGAAAAAGAAAGTCATTTACTCTCTGCCAAGACCCACAACCAAACAGCAGGATTCTGCAGACTCTCAGTCCCTGGGTTCATGGAGAAAACAAAGCTGCTATATGAGATGCTAAAAGACAAGGAAAAGGACTAAACAAGATCCATCCTTCGGAGAACTGAAAAAGGCTTTAGGCAGAACTCCTGCACTGGGCATCCCAGTTGTCACCAGACCCTTCAATTTGTTTTTAGATGAAAAAATCATGTTGCCTTGGAGGTTTTAACTCAGAAAATGAGCCCTTGGGAAAGACCCATTGCTTACCTCTCAAAAGCTTTAGAGACTCCATGACAAGGGGATGGCCTCCCTGTTTATGAGCTGTGGCGGCTGCAGTCATATTAATAAAAGAAGCTGACAAGCTGACTTTAGGGCAAGAACTGTGTATACTTCTCATTCAATAATGGAGTTATTAAATAGTAAAGGCCAGAAATGGCTCTCCAATAGCCGCATCACTCAATACCAAGCCCTGCTGTGTGAATAATCCCCACGTCAATGTTGTAACGGTAAGGCATTAAATCCAGCTACCTTCCTGCCTATGGAATTGGGAGCCCCTTAACATGACTGCATCAGCCTGACAGAAGAATTATGCTCCATTTGACCAGATCTCCAGATGACCCCACCTCCAGATGCTGAGTATGTCCTGTACAAGGATGGAAGTAGCTTCACGGAAAATGGAAGCTGCCGAGCTGGGTTTACAGTCACCACAGAGACCCCTTCCTCAGGGATGGTCAACACAAAGAGCAGAACTCTGGGCACTAACCCGGGCACTTTGTTGGGTGGAAGGAAAAAGAATCAATATTTATACTGACTCAAGATAGACCCTTGCTACCATTCATGTGCATGGCGCCATCTACTGGCAATGGGGGACTTCTCACAACAGAAGTAAAAGACATCAAGAATAAGAATGAAATTTTAAAACTCTTGGAAGCATTTCCAACAAGGTCTGAAAAAGCCTCTGAAGTGTGCAAAACATTGTTGAGAGAGCTAATTCCAAGATATGGACTCCCTCTGACCATCCACAGTGACAATGGTAAAAGTAGGAAGGATGAACAGAACTATTAAGTTAACTCTAAGTACTGCCTACAGACCCAGGGCCCTTGGGTAGATCTCTTACCCTTTGCCTTGATAAAAATTAGAAATGTGCCCAACAAGGGAAAGTTCTCCCCACTTGAGATCCTGTTTAAAAGGCCACCACCTTTGATTAAAAGCCTTAGGGACAATATACACAAAATAGGAAGTCTGATGCTTAACCAACAGCTTGAGGCTCTAGGATAGGCTTTTCATCATCTACACAAATATGGGGAAAAGGATAATATTCCCATGGACACTCCTGCTCATTTATTTGAGCTAGGGGACCAAATTTATATAAAAGATTAAAAAAAGGACTCCCTCACCCCAATGTAAAAAGGCCTTATGTTATTGTTACAACAACTCCCACAATGGTAAAATTTGCAGAAATACAGCCTTGGATCCATCATTCAAGAATTAAGGAATTTCATCTAGAAGACTCCTGAACGTGGCAGCCGGATCCAGCAACCCCGTTGAAAGCGACACTGCTGAGAATGCACTCTCAAAGCCCTACTCCTGTCACTCCAGAAGCTCACAGGTCAATGCATGGCTGAAGAAATTGAAGGAGATAATGTTCTCAAAAGCCCTGCTGATAGGCTGAAGTACAGCTAAAAGCTCATAAATAGTAGTACCGCTTAGTTGACTGGGACTTTTCTACTCACTATTGTTGTTATTTACTTTTATTATTGTTTTGTTATTATTGCTGTGTGTTTAGTTCTAATTGGGTTCCTCTTTGGCATTGCTCTGAGTGCTAGTGCCCCAAAAGACTGGAGCACTTGCCAAAAATACTGGCTTACTATCACATATTGATGTAGCATCCCACTTTTCTGTGTGCTTATATGTTTAAGATAAATACAGGACATTGGAACTTTGAACTGAGTATGTACAAGCCTAAAGATTCAAAGTTTGATGCCCAAACCAAACTAAGGTAATAAATGGAAACCCAAAGGGCATCCCCTGCCCATTACATTTGATGGATACTCACGCCAGCACTATGGCTGGCCAGAAGTGATAGATTGTGGAGGGCATAATAGGGAATGACTATACTGTGCAATGAGGTCAGAAGGGCGAACAAGAATGGCTATAAAGTTCCAAAGACAACAAAAGGCTTAAATGGAAAAAACACACAATCCCCAAATTGCTATACTTGTAAAGAAACAGAAAGTAACCCCATTTAAAATAGTTATACCTAAATAACTGAAAGGACAGGTTAATTTGCTGGCAGATATAGTACTGCAAAATAAAAAAGCCCTCAATTTATTAACTTCTAAGTATGGGGAACTTGCTTATATCTAGGAGAGAAATGCTGTTATTATACCAGTAAGTCTGGAGTAGTAATGGAATCTATGGATAAACTTAAAAGGGGGTTAGACAAAATGGAAGCGCAATTTGACACTGAAAATCCAAATTCATGGGGTGACTGGACTCTATCTAAATAAAAACCATGGTTAGCAGTCCTCGCTGGACCACTACTCACTTGCTACCCTTAGCTACAGTAGGCCCCTGGGTTATTAATTGGATAACCAAGTTCATCACACAGAGAATAAACTATCCAAAACTACCAGGTGTTAATCTCCACAAGATATGTAGAGTACAGGGACATTAGTAATCCCAATGATGAAGAATCATCATGAATCAAAACAGATGGGGGAATGTTTAAGGAAAGTATAAAATAATATAAAATAACTGCCTGCCTCATTCTGCTTCTGTAACTTGCTTCACTTGCTTGTTTTGCTTCTCAGAATAGCAATACCAGATGCTTCGCCATTAACCACAAGTTTGTGGGCACGAGATAAGCCACTGCCTGCAACATTGCCTAACCGCATAACAGTGACCGTGCCTCACAAGCAAAAATACATGTAGACCCTAAGCTTTCTGTAAATCACATGACTGGACCTAGTTTAAAGTATAAATGTAAGCCTCCAATGTGTCCCAGGGTTAGCCATTGAAGGCATGTTCCTGTGGGGATGGCCTGCTAGCAAATAAATTTTGTTGTTTTACCCTCAAAAAAAAAAAAAGAAATATGCTAAATTCTGTGCCCAGAACTCTCACGTTTCTAAGGTTGATCCTAACAATAATCTCTGAGGCAACGTATTATTATTTTCATTATGCAGATAAAGAGATTAAGTTTAGAAAAGCTAACACATCCAGAATAATACTCTGAACAGGCCTCTTGATTCTAAATTCCATTGTTGCCACCACTGTGCTCTGCTATGTCCAGCCTTCTGCCTGCTACACCCTCACTCCAATCACTGGTCCCCAAACACATTCATCTTTAATTCACCCATGCCTTAGTCTGGCCTGAAGTGGTCCACTCAGTGTTTCTACCTACAAAAGCTCCTCCCATCTCTTCATGTTTCTTCTCAGATTTCACCTCCAGTGTTAAGGATCAATCCCCATCCTCTAACCAGGATGAATTATTATCTGATTGTTCTACAATGCTTTTTTACATATCCCTCACAGAATGTATTGCATCTAATTTTATGTCGTAATTTTTGTTTCACTAGGTTAGGTGCTGTATATTCATCTGTATATTTCCCCAAGCACCTAACATGGTATGCCTAATGCAAACAATAACTATTCAATGAATCCAGTGGATACTCATTAATTCTTCTGTCACTGGTGGAAAGGCAGGAAGCCATTTATACCTTTAAATTGGCTAAAAATTTAGGGGAAAGTATTTTGCCTCTTGCAAAAATATTCCACATTTCAGAGCAGTGACCACTAAAGCAGGTGGCAATTCTATTAAACATCATAAAATAATATTACAATTTAATCTTATTGACAAATACCCAAATTACCTTGATCACAGAATTGAGTAGAACAACACTCTTGATAGACTAAGGTGAGAGATATGAAGATTAAAGTATTAAGAGAGACAGGAAGTAAATGCATCTACCTGAGGTGGATTCAGTTGCGAAGCCAGGGACACACAGCGAGTTTCAGAACTTCTGGATGGGGGGACACTTGACACATCTGTGCTGATACGGGAAATGAGCACATGTGGGGATCTAGTTTCAGCTGCTTTCAATTTTTCTTTATTTTTCCCTTCAATGGAAAAATCAGTATTATAAGCAACATCAAATTATGCAAACACTTAAAATTCACTCTTCAAAGAGAATATTTGTTCTTAAATTACCATAAATTTATGTTACAGCCATTGATTACAAAACATTACAGTAGAGAGCAGAGAGCCCTGAGGAGCAGCTGGCTAATGTAATTACACTGCACTGGTATTATACAGTAAGTAATAAAAGATTCTCAGTCTTATAAAAAATACAACTAATCTCTCTAGCTGGAGAAGGACATTAAAATGAACAGAATTATTGCCCCTTACTGTATCAATTGATAACCTAAAACTAGTTATTAATATCCACTATTAATACTTCTATCTTTTTTTTGCTCAATTTTAAGTGGTTTAGAGAACATTTTATAAGATGAAGTGAAGATAAATGAAGTGATGACTAAATTAATTGTTTACATTTTACTTTATAAACAATGTCATGAAAAATTTTTTTAAATATCATGATTAAAGATGAGTTTGGTAAGTTGTTTTTTAACCACAATATGTTTCTGCGATTTCTCCAGAGTGCATACGTATTATTTTTGTAACCCTCCCAAACAATAATACCCTTTTGAAGTGAATAAAGATCACATAAGAATATAGGCAGTTGGTCTGAGGATTTAGCTCAGTGGTTCCACCTCCTGCATCTCAAGCGCAAGGTCCTGAGTTCAATTTCCGGTACCAAAAAAAAAAAAAGAATATGGCCAGTCAGCTCACTTTTCTCTCATCCTAGACATTGCAAGACATGGCCAGCTTGGGAGCACAAAGCTGAAGGGAAGAGGGGTTTTTTTTGTTCTGTTCAGTAGGCCAAATTCTACAAAGAAGTACCTGTGAGTGTAGTTTCCCAGTTCTTTCTAATTAGTTCTTCCAATATTTCTACCACATTTGTCCAGACATGATCGAATACTCCTGCTGCCACAGTATCTTTGATACAGTCATGAGGGGAGATGGGAGGAAGTCCGTGTCTATGCCACTTCCTGCCACAGTGAGCTGGCTTTTGTTCAAGATGTTCATCACCACTAAGGATAAAAGTCCATTCTAATTACTGGTAACCAGGTTAAAGTTACACTCTATCACCTATTCGTCATCTATCTATTGTAATGAATGTATATGTATATATTTACAAATGTTAATAAATATAACATTCCTTTTTAAGCAGCATATTGTTATTTTTAATATATACAACTTTTGTTTGTCAACTATTCCTCAATAAAGTCAAGGAAAAAGTAAAGCAAATAATTTGTTCTATTTTTTCCCTGCTCTCTATTTCATTTATGTCTGTTCCAATCTTTGCCACTTCTTTTCTTCACTCTGGGTTTAATTTGTTCTTTTTCTTGTTCCTTCAGATGCAAAGTTAGTTTATTTGAACTCTTTCTTTTTTAAATTGAAGGTGTGAATTGCTATAAACGTCCCTCTTAGAACAGCTTTTGTTGTATCCCACAAGTGTTAGTATGCTGTATTTCCATTATCATTTATCTCAAGATATATTTTTGTTTTCCTTTTGATTTCTTCTTTGACCCACCAGTTCTTCAGGAATATGTTGTTTAATTTCTATGTATTGGTGAATTTTCTAGATTTCTTCCTATTACTGAATTCTGGCTTTCCAAGAAAAGAAGCTTGATATGATTTCTGTCTTCTTAAATTTGTTAAGACTTATTTTAGTAACTGGTTATCTTTTTAACAATTTTCAATCACAAAGTAAATTTTTATCCTACAATATTTTTAGCTTTTATGTAAAAGCAAAATAAGTACATTTAGTATCGAACTTCCTCATTCTTCTTTCCCCTACCAGATACTGGGATCCTGGAGCCCCCAGAGCACTTGATAGGGTCGGCAGCCTTATCCAGTTTCACTAGCAGCAGGACACAGCTCTGGTTTTCTATCATCTGAGCCATGTGTCCAAGAAGAAAGGGACTTACTGCTCTAGTATATACACTTACTGCTAGGAACTGAAAAACGGTGGGGGATGCACATTACTGTTAAAAGAATAGAAATCTTCTGAATAGGGAAAAAATACAAGAAACACTAAATGAGCATTATCTTAGTCACTTTCCCATCATTGGATACAATAACTGACACTCAAAGGAGGAGAGGTTAATTTTGGCTCATGGGTACAGTTTCTGGTTGGCTGGCTCCAAGGCAGAAATGGGGTGGCAGAAGGAAATGGGAAAGGAAAAGACACTCAATTCATGGCATCCAGAAAACAGAGAAAAAAAGGAGGAGTCAGAAACAAGAATTTACTCTTCCAGGTCCCCCATCTTCTGACCAGACCCTACCTTCTAAAAGCACATTCAGCTCTGAATGCTTCAGTGGATTAATCCCCTAATGAGTATTAGTGCCTGCATGATCCAATCACCTTCCAAAAACCCAACTTCTGAACACAGGAGCCTTTTAGGGGGACATTCTAGATCTAAACCATAACAAGCATGTAATAAAAATAAAGGTCAAATAAATTAACATTATACTATGGAGTCAATGTCAAATAAAACACTATTTACTCCTCTTTTCTGTCAAATGCAAAATACTCTTCAATCTTCCCATCCACACCATAAACCTCTTCTTGCAGGGATGAACATGCCACTAGGCTGGCACTCCCCGTGCCATCAGGGCCTGGCAGGGCAGAGGCTTCCAGTGCTGCTGGCACTATCTGAGAGCCAGAAATGCACAGCCTGTGGGGGAAAAAACCGATTCAGCATGAAAGTTTGTAGGACACAAGAATGTAATGCTTCAATGATCAAAACAGAGCTTTAAATTATCCATAAAGTCAAAATCTTACATTTAAAAAATTGCATTAAATATTACATTTGACAAAACTCATATCCTTAAAATCATTTTAACACAGGCATCATAAAAATTTTAAGGGCCACTTAAAAGATTAAGTTATTCTATATGTCTGAGTCCTCCGTGCTATAATGAAATGATGCGAAGACACAGTGAATGTATGTGAGTGGCAAAAAGAGGTTTATCAGAGTCTGTTAGTGAGCAAAAGAAAACAAGCTAGTGTTTTATTTCTTCTGCTTCGACTGCCTCGAGGCTTAGGATTTGTCATAATGAGGTGGTGTTTGATTCTATTACACCTTTCCAGTGCCTCTGGAACTATATGTGTGTGGTCCATACATGCTTTCCTTATCCACACACATGTATATACACACATCACCAACTTGGGATCAGAAACAACTTGTAAAAATCATTCTCTCTACCTGTCATTCACTGAAATCTAAATCTGCATATTTGGTTGTCCTAAGGATCATGAGTGAGATAAACATGAAAAACATGACTAAAATACAGTTACAAATAGTTTTTGGGAGTAACATATGTGTACATACTGTCTGACACTGCTGTTGGGTTCAGGGGCCGCAGGTACAGGTTTGTGACTGGCAGAACTTGGCAGGCTGCCCTGAAAGTGTTGGAATCCTTCATCAGTTGGCAGGATGAGCTGTCTTCCTAATACTCTGCAAGGGAAAAAAAGAAGCTAAGAAGCTACTACCACCTTTGATCAGACGAGGGAAAAATGTTTTGTGACCTTTAAATCATGGTACAAGCTGAAAGAGCTGGTGCACACCTGTAATCCTAGCAGTGTCGGAGACCAAGGCAGGAGGATTGCAAGTTTTGAGACCAGGCTGAGTAACTCATCAATAAAAATGGAGAGCACTAGGAAGTAGTTCAGTGTGAAGTCCCTGGCTTTAATCCCCAGTACCACAGCAAATAAATAAATAAATAAATAAATAGTAGGATACAATAATGATTTTAAAGACATGGGCATGTCACAAGGTAGTATGTATTGGCCCATGAGAGGCATCACAGTGTTAGAGAAAAAGCCAGCTGTCTGAGGAGGAAGGACAGTTTCTTCTGACCACAGACTAAGAGTCTGAGGTAAAGTTCCTCCACTCTCTCACAGCCACTGATTTCATTTGATTGTTTGTTCTTCAGATGCAAAATAGAACCACAGTTATCTTGCAGGACTTGTGAGCAGGTTAAAGATAATCTATGTCAGACTCAGGTGTCTAAGGCAAAGATAGAGATGCTATAAATACTAACTAATATATCTAGCAAAATATGTACCTTGCAACCTTTTCTTTTTCTACCTGACCTCTGTTTTAATCTTAACTACGTAAGATAACAGGGACAGGATAAAGTTTGAGCTCCCAACTTTTTGGTAAGTGCATCATTTCCCAAAAAAGTACACAGCTACCAATTACTATCTCGTAGGGCATATTATACTCTTTTAGGCAGGGGTTTATGAAGAATTGGAAAGAAAAAAATACTCAGTCATGAATTTTGTAAGTTATCTAGTCAAGCTAACCAGAAAATTCAAGCCCATTTCCATAGTGACCCTCCCTACATCCGAAATGGTGATGAGATGGAAAGATTCATCTACTTAGTCTTTTAGAGAATACTCTTCCCTCTTGAGCTGATCTCCAGTTGTTCTCAGTAATGACAGAAGCCTATTGCTCATGTACAATATATTGAATGTGAAGGTGAAAGATCACTTTGACTATTCTTACATGTGTTACATATGAATGCAATGTCTTTATAAGCAAGAGCTAGATTTGCTTCTCACAAATTTTAAGGATACTTGAGTCATGCCATGTCTTGATATTTCCTCAGGCATCATAGTGACAGACGGGACTTGTGAGTAAATGACTGTGTTCTGGATGCCTATTTTGATGGGGCAAATGGGGCTGTCAGTCAAAATGTACATCAATCAGAAGATTGTCTACAAAAATCCACCTTGGAAATGTCTTCAAAGGATATCTCTACCTTAGATGGAGGGATCTGCTTGCCCACTCACAGCATTCAGCCAGTAGGTTCTGGGTCTGAGCACCTACTTTCCCTTCAAATAACATTTCCTCCACCTCCCAAAATAATTGTTGCACTTTCTGAGCATTGGCTTTGTCAAATTCCTGAAACAGAAAGGCACAGTTAGTAACAACAGAAAAAGTTATACAAATATGAGTTTCACAACTGATGCCATTTATATATTTAAAATAACTCATTATATGGGGGGGAAATACAATAACATGACAAGAATGTGGACTTCTACCTTCACAGACAGATATACCAGTGCTCCCATTCTTACTTTTTTGACCAATTATATCTCATTTCAATAGTTATATCTCCACTTTTTCTTTTTCTTTTTTGGTACCAGAGATCGAACTCAGGACCTTGCACTTGCGAGGCAGGCAGCAGAACCACTAAGCTAAATCCCCAGCCCCATATCTCCACTTTTGATTCCCTTACTGTAAAAGAGATGATTTCTACCACATGAATTATGAAAGTTATTTGAGATTTTACATGTGATGTGTGATCAAAAATATAGCAAATGTTTAAATACAAATTTAAAAAATTATTACAGTCGAAGACATATTGCCATTAATCCCCTCAAAATACTCCCTTTCAATTTGAACACACCTATCCCATTATTCTTTGCACTTTCTGAAGCAGTTCTGGAAGTCCTCTTTCATGAATGTATTTTCATGGGTGCTTTAATGTTCTGAGTCATTTAAAAACTTTTATGGAAATTTCTGTCAAATAAAAAACATTATGTTGTGTCTTTATCCACCAGATCTGGCACCACATAACTTCTTGCTCTTTCTCAAAGTCAAAATTACCATTACAAGTAAGTATTTTGAATCAATTTAAGACAACAGCACAACTAAAGATACTTACAAAAGAGGACAGACTTCCAGAACTCCTTCAGAAAGTGCCAAGAATGATAGGATAAGTATGTTCAAAGGAAGAAGCACTGATGGCAATGTTTCTTTTACTGTAACAGTGTTTTTAAAAACTGTACATATTCACTGTATATATATATATATTTTTTTCTTTTTTTGGTACCAGGGATCTAACTTGGGACCTTGCACTTGCAAGGCAGGCGGTGTAACCACTGAGCTAAATCCCTAGCCCTCATTGTATTTATTGATCACACATAATAGATACAAAGATACAGAGAAAGTACACCTGTTGACATAGACATTAATATGGATGCTAAAACTTACACACACTTACATACCCACACACACTCAGATACACCCATGTACATACAGACATGTCTCTCATATAGTTCTGCTTAATGTACTTAGCCCATCTGAAAAATACAAGCTCTTTTTTTCTTCTGATGATACAATGGAAAATACAAATTACTTTTGTAGAAAGAACCACTGACCTTTTAATCTATAAAGGAGAGAGACTTTTAAAACTCCTTAGTTATTAGGGTGAGGCCAGAGTATTTTTTTTTTATCTGACTTGGGCAATGCTATAACGAGAGAAATAACCCTGCACCACAGGCTCCAGGCTGTGTTTTCTTCTAGGAGTATGTGAATCCAAAATCTAATCCACAGCTCAAAGCACCAAAGTGCGTATCTAGTTGGACATACTTGACCCAAAATGGTTAGGGTTGATTTCAATACATGATTATTCATTACATTATTTTGTGTTAGTTCTTCTCTCAAATTGATAATAAATTAAATTCCCAGATTACAGGGGAGTTGTATTAATTCTTTTAAATGCAATAAGAAGAAAACCAATAATACTTGTCTCTTAAAAGGTGACTAGATGGCTGGAGCATGTGAGGAGGCTCACTTATTCTGCTGTGTTGCATTTTGTTGCTTTTGCAAATATTTCCTATCAAAAAGTAATTTAAAATTTTAAATTAAGGTGAAAAGGAAATTTAAGGCCTGGAATAATTTAAATTCTATATATGGAAGTCATAAGAATCTCCCTTAACAATCCTATGAAAATTCGTGCTGAAAAACCCTAGATTTGGACATGATGAAGCAATTTTTCTCAGCCTCCTTCCCAGGGGCATGGCCATGAGAGGAAAGCGTGAGAGGGCATGTCAGCAAACTGTCATGAGGGTGGGAGTCACACATTCTTTCAAAAGTTGTCTGAGTGATTCTGAGCTGCCTGCCTTCCAGACCCCTTCTGCGGCCCTCACACTGCCCTCTCCATTAGGAATCACTGCTGTCCAACCACATGAGGAAGCAGATTGACACGTGCTATGAAGAAAGGGAAGAAAAGCACATCCCAACAAGGAGGAAAACTAGAACCCAAGATGCCTTAATGGAGGCTCTTCTATAACCAGATGGGCTTCTGCAAAACTGTATCCTAGGATTCTCAGGGACACTGGTGGGGACAAGGAGGCAGGAGACTGTGGATACAGCATAGTGTATAACAAAGCTGGAGGTGCAGCTAAGTACTCATATATAAAAGTGATAATGCTTTTATAAACAATGAAGTTTTCTTGAGCATGAGAAAGTAATTTTTCATTATCAATTGTAATAACAGATTTATCCAAAATACTCTCAAACATACATCGCCCCTCCAAGAATAAATGGAGCTCCTCTCTGTAGAGAAGCCAGTGGTCGAACTCTGTGTTGAAGATCCAGCCCATGAGTTGTGGGCTTCTGTGGGTGTGCAGCTTCCACTGGATGAGAATGATGATGGGGATTCACTGCAGGAATGAACATAAACAACAGAAATAACATGCACAGTACTGGGAAGAGATTATACTGTACATCAAGCAAGTGGCTTGGCTTCTCTGGACCTATTTCTTCCTTCTTTCCTTAAATGCATTTGTTAATTTTGTAGTGCATTAATCTCAACATATTTTTGCAATGTATCACTGTCACTTATTTTTTTGAGACAGAGTCTCACTATGCAGTCCAGGTTGGCCTTGAACTCACTATGTAGCCTAGGTTGGCCTCCAATTTGAGGCAATCCTTCTGCCTCAGTCACCCAAGTGCTGGAATTACAGATATGTGCCACCATGCCCAGCTGCACTTTACTTTTAGAAATTCATGTGGCTATCCACTGATGTTGTTTCCCACCTTTCTTACGGGCATTTTTTTTTAGTCAGCAGCATTTAATAAGTTAATGGGTTAATTCTTACCTGGTATATTTATCAATGGCTTTCTGCACGTTTCTTGTAAAATATGTAGGTAAAGGATCTTTGTTTTTCACAGCAAAACTATGCTTTCTAGCTCCTTCTGAGAGTCCTCGTCTGCAAAATAAAATAAAACATGAAAATTCTCTTTAATGTAATAATACAGTTTTATTTACTAAAACATACTTTTCCTTTCTATAAAGTTGCCTCTCTCCTACAGCACCCTCCTAAACACAATGTGCATGCACACACACACGCATCCTCAAGAAACTGGGACCCCAAACCTTGACATTTTAATTTTTCTTAGAATCAATTTTCCAATAATTTGAATGCATCTTTATGTGAGCTAGAAAAAATACAACAACTTTTAGTGCATCAGCCAGAGAAGTAAATGTTGCCCCAAACACTTGACAGTATTCCAGACAGCCTTCCTCCAAATCATAAGCCTTGACCAGTGAAACACGGGCTGGATTTCAGCTTGCCCTTGACCTGGTCCCTTATCCTTGTAAAACTCAACCAGCACTCCAATAGCAAATCATTAATCCTGTATTAGTTCTGAAATATGTCCAATTATTTTCGACCACTAAGAAGCTACATAAGCATCTAGCTCAACTTACTTTAGCATCTTTGCTTGGTATGTATTCTGGGTTTTAGAAACTTGGAACATGTTAAAATTTAATGGAGAACTAAAACAGAAAAACATATGAATGTTAATAAATTATAAACTTAACTGTGTGGCACAGTTGAAGTTAATCATTAAAATGCTCCTTCAATGAACCTCTTAAAATATTTACCTTCCTCTAGTCAAAATATCTTCCTAATGTTAATAGTGTACTACTTCTACTCTTTTAATAGAAATTTTCCCATGAAAATAAAATCTGTGTTAGGGTAAGTTATCGTAGTGAATTAGAAAAAAAATTGAACTTCCAATATTTCTAACAAGAACGCTATTCTGGTTTGAATTTAAAAGAAAAAGGTGTTTTTTTGTTTTTAATTAAAATAGTACCTAATTTTGGGGAAGAGGGTGTGGCTCAGCGGTAGAGCATTTACTTAGCATAAACAAGATCCTAGGTTTCCTCCCTAACCTTACAATAAACAAATAAATAGGACCTGGGATTTAGCTCAGTGGTTTCGCCGCCTGCTGCGCAAGCACAAGGACCCGAGTTCAATCCCCGATACCAAAAAAAAGAAACAAAAACAAAATAAACAAATAAATAGATAAGCGAAATGGTACCTAATTATCAATATTTATACAGTATTTTAAAATATAAGTGGTACAATTCCTGCCCTTCTTTGTGTATCTATGTACTCTACAATAAAGGGAATTCTTAAAATAAATTAAGACTATAAGCAGACATTAGCCAAGACCCTCTGTCCTCCAGAGATATATTTTGTGCAACAGAGAATAATAGAATTATATGATCATTTCCCTTCCCTTCCCACTACTTATGCATCTTCACATAATCAAATAATTCTGAGGATAAAGTGTTAAATATACCAGAGAAATGAATAAATGACAAGCTTTTATGGTATTAAACTGCTTTACTTTTAGCCCTATTCATATGTTTTCAAACCATTAATTATTTATCATTTACACTGGGACTCAATAACTTTTTAGGTAAACAAAATATTAAACAATTAAACATTATAAAATATTAAAAATTAACTAAAATTACATCAAATAGATCAGTTTTGACCAATAAGTACATACTCAAATATGAGTTAATGTTATTGAGACATAATTTTAAAACAGCATGATAAATAACTAAAATTTGTTTCTTCATGATATCTTTATAACAGTGGATTAAAATTTTCTCTCCACTGAGATTTAGGGAAATTTACTTCTCCTAGTCTCAAAATCCTTGTGTGCAAGGGCCAGGGATTTAGCTCAGTGGTTCTGCTGCCTGCCTTGAAAGCTCAAGGTTCTGAGTTCGATCCCGGATATGAAAAAAAAAAATCCACATGTGCAAAACAGCAAATATAGGAGTCTCCCCCATATCGCAGAGGTTACATTCCAATACCCCCAGTGCATTTCTGAAACTGCAGAGAATACTGAGTTCTATATATATTGTTTTCCCCTTTACAATGTATACATCTATAATGGTTTAATTTATAAGTTACTCGCAGTAAGACATTATTAATAACAATTAATAAAATAGAACAGTTGCAGCATTACATTATAATAAAATTGACATCAGCACTACTCTTGTATTTTAGGGCCATGATAAATAAAATAAGGGTTACTTGAACATAAGCTCTGCAATACTCTCACAGTTATTTGGTAGCTGAGAAGTTGCCAGTGGGTAGTACATATACCTGGACACCCTGACCAAAGGGATGATTCACGTCCTAAGATGAATGGAGTAGGATAGTTCAAAAATTTTGCTACTCAGAAGTTTTCCATTTATTATTTTTGTGCAATGCTTGAATGCAGGTAACTGAAACTGTAGAAAACAAAACCTCAGATAGGGGACAGGGATGGCTACCTTACTGCCAACTTTGTTGGTATGGTTGTGACACATGAAGTAGATGAAGTATGTAAAGGCCAAAGAAAAGATGCTTAACTTTCAGTGGCCAGGAAGCAGAAAAGAAGTAACTAGGGACAAGAATATGTCCTTCTAGGCCATGGCCCCAGGGACCCACTTCCAACCAGGCCCCGCCTCCTAACAGCACATTCACCTACTGAATCCACTAATGAGAATAGCACTGCTATGATCCAATCACCTTGTACACACAGAAAAATGTGTGGGACATTTTAGATCTAAATCATAACAATTGTCTATATAATCAGTTCTAGATCCATCAGGTCTATCACTGCTATTATTATCATATGCTACCATATGAAAACATTCTATTCTTGTTTCTTTGTACCTTCCCTAGCATTTTGTACTATATAGATCTATTTTCGAATTTTAATTTTTTTCTTGTGATCTTGACACCCAATGCTTATCACATAAGCAATATTTTATTGAGAAAATCAATAGGCAAAGGTTACGTTAACAAGGAAAACACAGAAGACATTATTGCTCTATAAGTACTCTCAATCAATTCTCATGCTTATTGCAAAAAATTACAGTGTATCTAGATATTAAAATAGTCTCCAAATTCAGCATATTTCTGAAGTATTTTAACATTTTTATAGAGAAAACAACATAGTTATTCATATAGCTGATATCCCCCAGAAATGACTTCTATAACTAAATATTAGCCTCTGTTCACTCGCTACTATTTCTCTTGCTTATAATTTATCTGCCTTTGGTGTCACTTGAAATCAAATTTCACTAATCTGAAGCATGCCAATTTGCTTTATTTTTAATAATAAAAAGAAAAATATTTTTCAATGGGGAGCTAATTTTTTTCCTACTCATTGGGAATTGTAGGAGACAGGGCAGTGGAAGTGGGAAGTCCTGCAAGGATTACAGAGATTGCCATAAAACAGATGCTTTAAACACTGTGTAATTCCACACCACTGCTCCAGTTTTTCTCTCCTTTGCTCTTCCACGTTTCATCTCTTGAAGAGTTCAGTGTAATAACATAAAATTGAGCAACAATGTAGAAGAGACTTGGTGTTATGGCTTGTGTCTGGATGTCGCCACAAAGCCTCATTCAGCCACAAGTAGCTCTTTGGAGGTGGCTGGATCTAGGGTGTGTGTTGCTGGGATTAAGGATGTGATGCTAGAATTGATTCATGGTGTGGTCCTAGGATTAAGGCTGCCCCCTAAAGGGGAGTAGACTTACAATGGACAGAAAGAGGACTGTTGCTTGTTACTTGCTGCCTTCTGCTGGCCATGCACTGCTTCCCTCTGCCATGCCACCCTGCCTTGGAGCCAGCCAAATATGAACTGAAACTTCTACCAATTGTGAGCCAAATAAGCCTTTCCTTCTTTAATTTTGGGGGTCCAGTCTTTTGTCACAGTAACGAGAATGGTGACTGAGACATTGGGTGAAAAAGAACATGAGCCCATAGCTCAATGACTGCTCAACATGGCCAAGAAGAGAGACATGAAGTTCCTACCAGGGTGCAGGCCACTGATTTGCAGGTTTCTCTAGGAACTACAAGTTACTTACTAATATCATGAATACCAAACAGATCCTTTAAATATGTCTTTTTAATACTATGTTTCAGCCCTTAGCTTTCTCTGTCATAAACTATTATTCTGTGAATAATGTTGAACATCTTTAATTCCTTGTAAACTATTAACTTCTATACATGCTAAACAGTCTTAAAAAATGTACAAACTTCAGGATGCATCCTGTCTGGCTTGGTTACTTTTCTCACTGCTGAAAGAAAAATATTCAACACACAAAGTTGAAAGAGGAAAGGTTTATTTCAGCTCACAGTTTGTCCATATGGTTTCAGTCCATAGTCAGCTGGCTCCAAGGGAAGGCACCATGGAAGAGGGGTATGGCAGAGGAGAAACAGTCCATGGCAGTCAGGCAGAAAGCAGTGAGGGGCAAGCCTCCCTTTCCTTTTTATCTCATCCAGGTTACAAGCCTATTGGATGGTGCCCCACATACACCCAGGGTGGGTTTTCCCATTATCCACATGTAGAACTATGCTAAACCAATCAGTGTACTAATTTAGTTATTACACACCCTAAATCCGAGCAACTCCAACAAGCCCCACCTATGAGCACATAGGGGTCATCTAGATACAGTACAAGCCATACCCGTGTCCTATAAGTATCGTAAAACTTGAATGTGGTGGGATTTCTATTACAGTTATATTACTTACTACATAGGCATATGACAATTTTGTGCTTGCTTGCTCCTTTCTAGGTTTCTTATATTTTAGTGACAACAAAATATTGCTTCTAGTCACATTTCATGTGGGCTTGAGACCTAGGTTTACTTATGGTGGACTGAAGTACAAGCATCAAACTGTGTTGTACTAATTTGTGCATTAAAATGAAGGCTGAGTTTCAAGCTCCACGAGTCACTCTATTCTAGCTCTCAGGAAAATGATTTAATTATCCATTTTACTTTTTTAAGGTTGCTTCTTAAGAGCCCACAAACCTCTTCCACGCAGCCCCGGAGAAATTCAAATGGTAAGCAATGGTCACAGCTTTCAAAATGATGCGCTTGGATTTGAAAGGATTATCAAGAATGAGCAGCTC